TTGTTGAGCAGGGACCGACCGTCCCGGTATTCCTATAGTCCTATCACGAAATGTGCTTAGAACCCAAATGTTCGAAGAACAAAAACAGTGCTCTTCAAACATGAACCCGATGTGTGAAAACAAAACAATATCAACCAGAAGTATTCTATGAACATTTCGTGGAAACCGCAAAAGGTTCTTAGAACATTGCTTGGTAGGCCTATAGGCACGCCAGGAGGCTTCACCACTGCGTGTCTTTGGCGTTGCTCGCGCGCGGAAACCTGGTCGGGCCGCCCCGCGGTCAGAGCGAGAACCACTGCACCCCTGAGCCGTCCGAGAGCGCCTGCCGTTGCGGGGCGCCGGTGCTGGAAGCGGCTGGCGCCGATCCCCGCGAAGTGGCCTGAGGGGCTGGATGCCGCCAAACGGGGGGTTTTGGGCGCTTCTTGGACCGTCTTGGGGCTTTCTTGGGCCGTCTTGGGGCTCTGTGGCGGCATTTCTGGCCATCGTGGGGCGATCTTGCGGACGTCGGAAGTCGTCGAAAACAGTACGACAGCGAAAATAAGCAATCTATTAAAAAATATACGTTTTACGAAGGGAATGGGGCCATTTGTGCCTCTTCGGGCTCTCTTGGGGGCCTCTTGGGGGCCTCTTGGGGGCCTGTTGGAGTGTCTAGGACGCTTCTTTGTTCTCTTTTGTTGGCCTTTTGGGACCCTCTTGGATGCCTATGGGATCTTGATGGCGGAGAGCTTGAAATTTCAGGTGGGTTTGCCCATCTTGGCCTCCTCTTGGGCGCTTTTGGGGGGCCGTTTGCGCCCCCCAGGCCTCGGCACCCACATTTGTGGCCGTGGTCCTGGCCCTGGGCCCCCGGACCCGGTGCGCCGTTATATGTATATGAGATGAGATGAGACGGCGCCTCGGAACAGTCGAGACGGAAGGGACCAGCCCAATAGCGCACAGCGCTAGGGCGAGCTCACCCAACGCGCGGGCCAGCTCACACCTTGGAGATGAGTGAAGACACCCTCTAGCCACGACTCCCAAAGAGAGAGGCCCCAGCCAGGGACGCCCCGTTTTGGGAGGGCGGCGGTCCGTGGGCCCCGCAGGCGCCCGGCCGGGCGGCGCGCGTCGTACCGCCAGAGGGCAGGGGCCAGGCGCAGAAGGGGCCCAGGGACACACAAGGGAGGAACGGAACGGAACGGAACGGCACGCCTGTGCGAGCATGCGCCCGAGCCACGCGGGACACACAAGGGACACACAAGGGAGACACAAGGGAGAGATGCGCGCAAAGGACCCCGACCCCCTCGGGCAATGAAAACATCACGACGGGAGGTTTTCCTAAATTTTCGGCCTCTGGGGGGCCCTCGCCGGGCCTCGGGAGCGTCGAAAAACGGCTCGGGATGCAAAGCCGGTCCTGGGGAAAGGGTCGGGACCTCTGGAGGTCGACGTAATGGAAAAATCATGACGTCGGGGGTGTGGGGATGCAGGGGCCTTGGAGGACCGTGGGGACATGTTTCAAACGGCGTTTGGCCAGCGAGAGCTGCCAAGGATGGGCGGAAGGGGCAAGAACGCCAGGGCAACCTTGGAGAGTTGCCCCCCAGTCGCGCACGGATCGCCAAGGTAACCTTGGAAAGTTTTCGGCGGCAACTCATGGGAGCCTCCCATACCATCCTGCCGGCTCTGACGAATCGAAGCCAATCGACGCTAGTCGATGCCAATGGACTCTCAATACACGCCAATCGACGCCAACCGACGCTACATCGGCGCTATCTCGTCGACTCCCAGACGCTGACCAACGCGAATCGATGCTGGAGGCAGTCGGGGATGGACAGACCCCCCTTTAGTAAAACGTGGTTTAGTGAAAACGACCTGAGGCCCAAACCTGGCGGGCGCAAGCCTGGAAAATAACGGCCACGGCTCCCTCTCGAGAACCGAAAACGGACAATTCACTAATCGACGTGTCACTGTTGGGGGTTCTGTCCACCCCCGAGGCAGAATCAAAAGGGCACGCCAGGCTCCCATGAGGTGCTTCCGAATTCGTTCTCACAGCGATCGGTGGGAGACCGGGGGGCCGGGGGTGCCCGTGCTCGGCTACCCCGGCCCAGCTCCCCACCTGTCCCGGAGCAGGGCGGGGTGAGACCACGGCAGCAACGCCAGTCCCCGACCCCCCCCCCCGAGATCCGATACCGAGCTGCGCGACGAGAGGTCCCCCCGAGGGCCACATGCCGCCATCTCTCTCGACGAGCGCGTTCCACTGCCCGCAGAAAAAAAGACTGGATGCGCACACGGCTTGGATGCGCCGCCGGGATGTGCGGTCCATTCCACAGGAAGGCAGACATACGCTTTTCCGCGGGCGCTCGCGCGCAGGCACCCTGCGAGGAGTGGCACGCGCTCGGTTCACCTCGGCTCGCCCACCTCTGACTGACGCTGCCCCCCGGCGGGGCCTGCGCGGCGCGTCTGGGGCGCGCGGCCCTCCCCGCAGCCCCACCTGAGTATCGTTTGACCGATCCCCATCCCCAGCGGCGTGGCCTGGGCCACACTGGCCGATCTACCCCCTGTATAGGTCGCCCCCTTCGGGCTTCGAGGGGCGTATATCCCCAACTGGGGTGGTAATCTGGTGGGGGTCTCGAAGGGCATGGGGATGGGGATGGGGATCGGTTACACGATCCTGACCACCGGCGCCGGCGGCGCCGCCGCCCGTCGACGCCGACGCCGCGTGCCTGGCACCGCCAGCTGCCAAGGCAGGCTGGGCGCTGGCGCTGGCCGCCGCTGGGCGGGCGGCGCTGGCCGCCAATTGGCCCCCCGGGGCGTCGGCGGCGGCGGCCACTTGGCCCTCTGGGGCATCGGCGGCGGCGGGCGCCGCCGCGCCCTCCAGGGCGGCGCCGGCGCCCCGCGGCGGCCCAGGGCCCTCGCCGGCTGGGCCGCCGCCGCCGCGGGCCTGCGCATATCGCGCGCCGCCGCCGAGGGCCGCCGCCAGCGCCGTCGCAGGCGCGGTTGCCGCCGTCGCGAAGAAGGGGCGGCGAGACCGAGGTACCCTGAGATCCTGGCGACTCAATGTTTTCAAGCCGGGGTTTTTTTCGCTCAATTTCGGGCCTCGGGACCTTCACAGGTCAAGCCGGCTCGAAAAATTACGCAGAAAGATAGTGTACGGGGCTCTGGTCGTGATTTTTTGCGATGTTGCACTGTTTTGCAACGTCGGACATCAGGGTAAGACGAGACACGCTCGGGGAGCGATCTGACCCCTGAGCCGTCCGCTCCATCCCTATTTTCCTTCGGCCGCGTCCTCTCCTCGCTCCTCTTCTTGCGTGGTGGCACAATTTGTTCTAACGGCATCCCCGTTTAAGCCTCTCGTCGCCAGCGCAGTCCCACTCTGCCTAGCCGCCGACGCAAAAAGAGATCGAGGTAAGAGGAAGCCAGGATGAGGGTAAAATCGAGTGGGGATTTGTCGAGAATCGACTCCGAGGTCCCGCTGATCTGGGAAATGTCTCGTGTTCCGCGGCCTTCTCAGAGCGTTCCGCTCCAAAACGCAACGGAAACGGATTTATCCTCGTCCTGATCCCTTCCGACGAAGTGCTCCTCGCTGAGATCCTAGCATCCCAATTCTGTTCGAGCCGAGCGCTTTCATCCAGATTCGGGCCCCGAGGTCCTCACCCATTGAGGCGGCTCGGAAAATGGCGCAGACAGAGAGGGGATCCAGGGCTCCAGCTGCGACTTTCCGAAGTGTCTCACTTCTTTCGAGACGCCGAATCCCAGACCCACGACGTCATGATTTGTCCATTACGTCGACCTCCAGAGGTCCCGACCCTTTCCCCAGGACCGGCGTTGCATCCCGAGCCGTTTTTCGACGCTCCCGAGGCCCGGCGAGGGCCCCCAGAGGCTGAGAATTTCGAAAAACCTCCCGTCGTGATGTTTTCATTGCCCGAGGGGGTCGGGGATCTCAGGGCTAGACATGCTCGCGTTGTTTCTGCGTCGCTCGCGTGGCTCCCAAGGCCGGGTCCGCTCGCGTGGCTCCCAAAGCCGGCTCCCAAGGCCGGGTCCGCCGAGGGGGCTGGGTCTGCGATCGATCCCCTCCTAACTATACTCGAATGTCTGGGGTGAGTAAGTGGTCCTGGGGAAGGGGTGTCTGCGCGGAACTCCCCTCGTCCTTCCCTCCCCCTCCTCCCCACCCTCGTCCCCCTCCCCCTCCTCCCCCTCCTTCCCTTTTTCCCTCCTCCTCCCTCCCCCTCCTCCCTTTCACAATCACTCAATATGAATACTACTCTCCCTCTTCCACTGATGACGGTTTGAAAATATTAGCCCCCCCCCTCGCGTACTGTTTTTTTAAAACACAAGATTCCCTGGAGTTGGGTTTTCGCCTGCATTTTTTCCAAAATGCTGCTCTCGCTGAGGCGCCGGCCTCATGATCGGGCCCCGCTCGTTCCGAATCGTGCTCCCGCTGCAGCGCTGGCCTCATTTCCGTGCTTCCGCTCGTTCCGAATCGCGCTCCCGCTGCAGCGCTGGCCTCATTTCCGTGCTTCCGCTCGTTCCGACTCGTGCTCCCGCTGCAGCGCTGGCGTCATTTCCCGTGCCATGCCACGGCATGCAATGCAATGCTAGGTTGATACTACGCTTTGCGGTGCTTTTCTATGCACTCTTGAGCTTGTCCCCTGGAAGTGGAAAGACATCCTTCGCAAAAGAGAACAACCACGATTACAATGGACAACTTACATGCACACCCGGGCTCTGAGCGCAGCGGGGAACGGTTCGGAACGTTTGCAGGATTTGTTGCAGTCCACGCAGTGGGACGCAGCAGTCGATCAGTACACGCAGACAGTATGAATATGTTTGCCTTATGTGCCTTTTCCTTCCCCTCCCTCCCTCCCTCCTTCCCTCTCTCCACCCCTCCCCCGGAATGCTGCGCAGGTTTCCCTCGCACTTCGCTGGCACAAAAGGAGGCAACGATTTCACCGAGGCACTGTGCAGCTTTTACTTTGCATGTTCGTGCACGCCTCCCCAAATGTATGTATACTCTGGATTGCCGAATCTTTTGCCGATGCGCCGTCTACGCGGCCTTTTCCAGTCCAGTCCAGTCTCTGAAGGTCTCGAATGCTTCCCCGATTGCGGAAAAACGCCTGGCGGGGAGCTGACCAGGGCTTCAAAACTGGTGAGAGTTTCACCGATAACTCTCAGAAGGTCTCACATGCTTCCCCGATTGCGGAAAAAAACGCCTGGCGGGGAGCTGACCAGGTCTTCATGCGGAGGGAGGAGCGGCTCACTTGGGAGGCCCGCCCTCGGTCGGAGGGCTGGTCATGAGCACGTGCATTCCGAAGGAGGAGGCCGGAAAACACCGCCGACCCCTTGTGGGTCTCTAGGCGTGTGAGATTGTTCCCCCCCCATAAGCCCCCCTCTCCCGGGACCCCAAACCGGCAATTTGACCCCCCCCCCCCCTCGTCGGACCCGACCCACCTTCGAACTCATCAGGGGGGCCTGGCTCCCCAGGCTCAAGGACCCTTTGGGGGCCGTCTTGGGGCCTTCTTAGGGGGGCAGCTGGACCCGCGGACACCCCAACTGGGGCCTTCGGTGGAGCTCCCTATGGGGCTACGAAGCGTGTGAGAGGTGTGCCGAGAGCAGAGGCAAGGAGGGGGAGGAGGGAGGAGGGGGAGGAGGAAGGAAGAAAGGAGGGACGCGGGCCACCGTCTCTTCAAAACGAGGACCCAACACCACAGGATGGTTGGGGAAAAACGTGGCTTCTCAAAGCCAAAGGTGAGTTGGCGTAGTGTCGCTGATGATACAGGCTCCGCGTCGTGCTAAATACGGTGCGCCGATTCGTGCTCATCGATCTCCGCGTCCTGCTCCGACTAGTTGACCTCAACCTCCGCGTTGTGAATGTCGCGCTGGGGTGTTGGGCCCCTGCCACGGCCAGGACATTCGAGCCCCACCAGGCAGCCCAGCGCGACGCCGCAGACCAAGAACAAGATCAACAAGAAGAAGATCAAGACACCAGCGAAGACTGCAATTAAGACCCATGGCTCGGTGGTGGCTGTGGTGGCCTGGGTGGGGGAACCGCATGCGGGCACCCCCACTGGGGTCTTCGGTGGAGCTCCCTTTGGGGCTACGAAACGCTGCCCTGGGTGGGAGAACCGCATGCGGACACCCCCACTGGGGCCTTCGGTGGAGCTCCCTATGGGGCCACGAAACGCTGCCCTGGGTGGCGGAACCGCATGTGGGCACCCCCACTGGGGCCTTCGGTGGAGCTCCCTATGGGGCTACGAAGCGCTGCCCTGGGTGGGGGAACCGCATGCGGGCACCCCCACTGGGGTCTTCGGTGGAGCTCCCTATGGGACTACGAAGCGCTGCCCTGGGTGGGGGAACCGCATGCGGGCACCCGCACTGGGGCCTTCGGTGGAGCTCCCTATGGGGCCACGAAACGCTGCCCTGGGTGGGGGAACCGCATGCGGGCACCCCCACTGGGGCCTTCGGTGAAGCTCCCTACGGGGCCACAAAACGCTGTGCGCGGTTGCGGTTGCGCCCCCCCCCCTCTGGGGTCTTCGGTGGAGCTCCCTATGGGGCCACGAAACGCTGCCCTGCGCGTGGGGAACGCATGCGCCCCCTCTCCCCACTGGGGCCTTCTGTGGAGCACCCTGCGATGCCGATGATGACGATGATGTTGCTGGAGATGGTGATGGTGATGGTGATGATGATGATGGTGGTGGTGATGATGATGATGATGATAATGGCGATGATGGTGATGGTGATGGTGATGATGCTGCTGCTGTTGATGATGATGATGATGAGGATGATGATGATGATTATGATGATGAAGATGATGATGATGATGAGGAGGAGGAGGATGAGGATGAGGATGAGGATGAGGATGAGGATGATGATGCTGATGATGATGATGATGCTGATGATGATGATGATGATGATGGTGGTGATGCTGATGCTGATGATGATGATGATGATGATGATGATGATGATGATGATGATGATGATGATGATGCTGATGATGATGGGAGGAGGGGGTGAGCTGAGACATGCGGAGAGCAAAGGCAAGGATGGGGGAGGAGGGAGGAGGAGAGGAGGAAGGAGGAAGGAGGTGGGACGCGGGGCGCTGTCTCTTCAAAACGAAGACCCAACACCACAGGATGGTTGGGGAAAAGAGTGGTGGCCGCTTTTTTCTGTGGGGCGATCTAGGCACTGGTGCGTGGGAAAACGTGGCGCTCGAGCGCCAAAGGGTTGGGGCTGCCATGATGTAGTCGGCTGTCCTCTTCAGGAATGTAGCCGCAACCTTACAAGAAGACTGTGCCGCCTGTGTCGGACCAGACTAGGCAGTTACTGATGCTATGATGAGAGACAAAAAAACGTGGCTTCTCGAAGCCAAAGGTGAGTTGGCGTAGTGTCGCCCTGTAGAGTAGCCTGATGATACAGGCTGCGATATGGCATACGGCGCGTCAGGGAGCGAGGAGGAGGGAGGGAGCTTATAGGAAGGCCTCAACCTCCGCGTCGTGCTAAATACGGTGATCCGACTCGTGCTCACCGATCTCTGCGACCTGCTCCGACACGTTGGCCTCAACCTCCGCGTTGTGAATGCCGCGCTCGGGTGTTGGCGTAGTGTCGCTGTGCAGAGTAGCCTGATGATACAGGCTGAACCCTTTGCTCCAGCGTATTGCGAGGGATAGCTGTGCGGCGCGTCAGGGAGCGAGGAGGAGGGAGGGAGATTATAGGAAGGCCTCAGGCTCCGTGTCGTGCTAGATCTCCGCGACCTGCTCCGACTAGTTGTACTCGTTGTCCTCAACTTCCGCGATGTCAATGCCGCGCTCGGGTGTTGGGCTCCTGCCACGGCCAGGACCTTCGAGCCCCACCAGGCAGCCCAGCGCGACGCCGCAGACCAAGAACAAGATCAAAAAGAAGAAGATCAAGACACCAGCGACGACTCCAATTAATCCCCATGGCTCGGTGGTGGCTGCGGTGTTTGACGTGTCCCAACTCGTGCTCGTATCGGCGGTCGTCGTGGTCGCGGAACTCATGCCCGTATCGGCGGTCGTCGTGGTCGCGGAACTCGTGCCCGTATCGGTGGTCGTCGTGGCCGTCTTTGTGGTCGTCGCGGTGGTCGTCTCTTCACCGAACACGTACGCGGAGCCTGATTGGGGGCCCTGGTCGTCGTCCCAGGCGCTCCCCACCACCACGCGGGCCCCGTCGGAGCTCACGGCCACCGAGTAACCGAACTGGTCGAAGTCGGCCCCATCACTCGCCACAAGCTTGAGCAGCCTCTCGCCGGTGGTACCGTCGAGCACGTACGCGGAGCCTGAAGAGGAGCCCTGTTCGTCGTCACCAGAGGCCCCCACCACCACGATGGCCCCGTCGGAGCTCACGGCCACCGAGTAACCGAACTGGTCGCCTGCGGCCCCATCACTCGCCACAAGCTTGAGCAGCCTCTCGCCGGTGGTACCGTCGAGCACGTACGCGGAGCCTGAAGTGGAGCCCTGGTCGTCGTCATAAAAGGCCCCCACCACCACGCGGGCCCCGTCGGAGCTCACGGCCACCGAACGACCGAACTGGTCGCCTGCGGCCCCATCACTCGCCACAAGCTTGAGCAGCCTCTCGCCGGTGGTACCGTCGAGCACGTACGCGGAGCCTGAATTGGAGCCCTGGTCGTCGTCACCAGCGGCCCCCACCACCACGATGGCCCCATCGGAGCTCACGAGCTCACGGCCACCGAGTAACCGAACTGGTCGAAGTCGGCCCCATCACTCGCCACAAGCTTGAGCAGCCTCTCGCCGGTGTTACCGTCGAGCACGTACGCGGAGCCTGAATTGAAACCCTGGTCGTCGTCACCAGAGGCCCCCACCACCACGATGGCCCCGTCGGAGCTCACGGCCACCGAGTAACCGAAATAGTCGCTTCCAGCCCCATCACTCGCCACAAGCTTGAGCAGCCTCTCGCCGGTGGTACCGTCGAACACGTGCACGGAGCCTGAAATGGAGCCCTGGTCGTCGTCACGGTAGGACGCCACCACCACGCGGGCCCCGTCGGAGCTCACGGCCACCGAACGACCGAACCAGTCGCGTGCGGCCCCATCACTCGCCACAAGCTTGAGCAGCCTCTCGCCGGTGGCACCGTCGAGCACGTACGCGGAGTCGTCATAGTAGTAGGCGCTGGCCCCTACCACCACGCGGGCCCCGTCGGAGCTCACGGACACCGAACCACCGAACTTGTGGTCGCCATCACCCGGCAAGAGCTTGAGCAACTGCGCGCCGCTGGTAGCCTGGCGCCTGCCGAACTCGGCCTGCGGCTCGCGAAGGCGACCGTTCGCCGAGCCCTCCAGCCTCGGGCGGGCCAGCGTCCCGCTCGCCGGCGACCCGGCGCTCGGGGCGCCGCGCGCTACCAGCAGCAGGAGCAGCGCGCCGACGCTGTGAGACGTGAGAAGGCGCATCATGCCGTCTGCAGATGTGCTGACAGAAACGAGAGACGCCCGAAGGGAGCCCTTGGAGGCCGGCGACGGCCCCTCGGAACCTTGAGCCAAAATTGTTACGGACCTTCCGTTTTTGGTTTTGGTTTTTTCCCACAAGAACTCCCCCTGGCGGCCCGTCCCGCCGACCACCCGAGAGGGAGCTCCAGGAGCTCAATTCCAGAAGAATCCCCCAAGCCGGCTCAAGATGGCCTCCAAAAAGGCCTCCAAGTCCGCCCAAGATGGTCCAAGATGGCCTCCAAGACGGCCCGAGAAAGTCCAAGATGCCTCCTGTTCGTCCCAGAAGCCTCCAAGACGCCAAGATCGCCCAGGAGCCCTTCAAGATGTCCCCACGACAGCGCAAGAGGCCCCCAAGAGGGCCCAAAAGGGCCCCGACGGCCGAAGAGGCCTCCAAGACGCCTACGCTGCCTCGAAGACCGCCCTGACACGGCCCATGAGGGCCTGAAATCGGCTCCGAGAGGCCTCAAAGACGGTGTCGGACGGCGTCAGATGGGCCAGGAACGCTCTCAGACGACCAAAGACTCCCTCAAAGAGCCCCCGGAGGCCCCCAAGAAGGCCAAGGAGGCCTCCCGAGAAGCATTCAAAAGGTCCACAGGAAGTTCCAACAAAGCACCCAGAACCCAAAAGTGCCCCAAGAAGCTTTCAAACATTTCCTGTTCCCTCCTGCTGTTTCCATCCTCTCCTTCTCCGTCCCTTTTTCCCCCCAAGTGTTCCCCGAAGGTGTCGAGGCGAGACTCGGGGAATACATGGTCCGATGGTTTGGTCAAGCTCCGCCTCCAACAACGCCCAAGATGCACCAAACACTGCCTCCACCGAGTGGCTCCGATTATTTCCTCATGTTATTTTCTGGTCACCGAATAAACAATGCAGTCCGTCGTCCCACCAAGTTTGTGCACATGCTAAATTTCAGCGCCGTCGCACAAAAACGCCAAGGAGGCCTCCCAAAATGGCCCCCAAAAACCCAAATATCGCCCCAATACGGTTTCCATGACAGTCCCAAGATGCCTCCAAGACCGCAAGGATGGCCCAATAAAACCCTAGAGAGGCCTCCTCCTCCCTTCTGCTGGTCATGTTGTACATGCTGTACATGCTTATCATGCTGCTCATGCTGACCATGCTGTTCATGTATATCATGCGGTTCGCGTATATCATGCTGTTCATGATGATCATGCTGCTCGTGTCGATTATGCCGTTCATACTGATCATGTTGGTCATGATTTCCCGCTAGACGATGACTGTTGGCTAGAGGCTCTTGTTCACGAGTCTGTCTCTGGACATAATTGGAATCATGATGCTGTTGTGGTTCTGAAGCTTGCTTGCTAATGACATGTTCCTCTTGGGGCTCCTTGGAGGCCGGTGCACTCGGGCGCGAAACATAAGATGGGATACGCCAGGCCAGGGAGCAGGAAACATTGTCATCACAAATCCGTGAGGCCTCGTCTGCACTGTTGAGGTCACTCGGGATCCACCGAAGAACAAGACGAATGTTGCGAGCAAGGAGGTAGGCACTGATGCGTCTGATGACCACCAACATAACATACTCTGTTGATCGGCATCGGCAGATCGACAGCACCACTCCCATGTTATCGCATAGATGCACGTGCCCGATGTCGTGACCCCACCGCGTCTGGGCGAGGCGACGCACAGCGGCCAGGACAGCGCGAGCCTCCAAAATGGCGATGCCCTCCGCCCGGGCCCAGGCCCCGCTGCGACAGAGGCTCCAGCGCGACTGGTCGAGGCACCCAGCAGGCACCCCCTCGAAGCCCTCGTCGAGCGACCAGGCGCCTGCAGAGGCCTCCTCGGGCGCAGCCGGGCGCCGGGGCCCAGCGCCCCCCATCCTTGACGTAGCCGGCGCGCTGCATCGAGCGCTGTCGCGGAGCCAGCTCCACGTTGAGGCGGGAGCGGCTCCGCTCGGCGACGCGCCCCACACGGGCGACCTCCCTGGAGTCATGGTGGAAGTCACGCCGAAGCCGCTCTCGGATGCGTCAAAGGCGGTGTCGCAGCGGTTCCAGGGGGCCGCCCAATCGCTGCTGAGGAAAACCAGGAGACCCCGGAAATAGCTGAGCTCCTCGCGCACGGAGGCCCACATCTCCCGTCGCTCCCAATAGTTCGCCTGGATGAGCGCGCAGCTGGCTGAGAAGCCGCTGAGCACCTCGCGCCTCGCCTAGCCGGCGCAGGCGCAGTGGCCCAGGAGGCGCCCCAGGTCCCGGCCAGAAAGCCTGCCACGCGGCAGGACGTAGGCCAGGGACCTCTCGAGACGGCAGCGCCGCTTGCCGGAGATGGCCGCGCGCGGGCGCTCGCAGTCCACTACCGCGCCCAGGGCCGCGCCCTTCGACTCGAAGATCTCGACCTCGTGGACGTCGAGCCTCAGCTTGTTGAACGCTGCAACCTTCTCGTCCAGCGCCCTCCTGACTGCCGCCAGGACTTGCCCAAGCACTCCCAGGTTGTCAACGTGCGCGCGGTGCCAGAGGCCCTGCTCGCGGCCGTCGCCCAGACAGAACACCATGGGTTCACCGCGGTCGGTGGCCAGCCTGGCCCCCCGCAAGAGGTCGCGCTGCCGCGCCAGATTGGCGCTGGCGTTCTGGCAGAAGTAAAGCGACCAGGAACACCCCGTGGGATGGGCTCTGCAGCAAGGAAAGACCACGCCCTCGCCGCTTGCCACGCGGACCTCGACGGTCTCCACGGAGTCTTCACGCAACTGACTGGAAAGGCGTAGCAAGGGCTCATCCAGGTCGGCACCACTACCCTGTGGAAGCAGTTCTCGACGTCACCGACCCGGAGACGCAATTTTTTTATCTGCGGGGCAAGAGCGAACTTCTTCCGCTAGAAGCTAGGCGGGCTACGCACATCTTTAACTAGGGAGACAGGGCACAGGAGGGCGGGGCCTAAACCCCCGACCCCGAGACACAGGCGGAGCGCCCGCAGGATACCCCAGCTCGAGTCCTTCAGCAGGCATGGGTCGTCATCGACGACGACCTCAAGGCGTGACAAGCCCTCCGCCGTCAACGGGCCCACTCGCGGTGGAGGAAGGAAGCGCCGGTTAGCGGGGCGTGCATCTGCAATCATTCCCATCTTCTGTCTGCCCTATGCAGCCCCCCCATGAAACGAACCAGCAACCTCCTACTCTGTGCGAGCGCAGGGCCCAGTTGAGGCCGCGCTGGGTCGCTTTGACGAAAGCGTTCAAAATCAGGGACGCTACGCAACACCTGCTCTCCACGACCCTCCAGAAAACACAAGCCCTCTGCGTCGAGCATCAGCTCTAGGCGCGGGGTGTCCTGGGCGCTCTCCGGCAGCGAGACGAGCCCGAGCTGGAAGGGAGCTACGAGCTACGTTCGGCTGGCCGGGCTCCTCGCATGACCCCCGCCCTCGGTGCAGCTCCAGATAGGCCGCTCTCGCAGAAGGCGCGTTTGGCGCCGGCCCCTGGGCTCGCACCAGTCCATCGACGCGCGCAGTCACTTCGCTGTGGATGTCAGAGTCGCCGCCGCCGCCGACCGCAGGCGAACCGGTCGCCTTCGCCAGCCAGCCCAGGGCATCGATTGCCCTGTTCACCAGCCGAACGCGCAGATGGCGACCTCGCAGTCCGCGATTGAGGCGACCTCCTCCACGCGCTGATGGCGGCCCCTGCAGCCGCGGCAAGGGGAACAGGCGACGTTCGCCGCGAGGCTGCCAGGCGCCCAGCACCAGGCCAAAACAGCTGCCCGCCGAGGGGGGCCCATTCCCCTCGGCCGTCTCGTCGCCCATGCCTTCTCGGCGGCCGAGGGGCCCTTGGCCCGCCGCGCCCCCGGCCGCCATCACGACCCCGGCCTCGGCCCCTCGGAACCTCGCCGGATGCGCCGTCAGGCGCCTCCTCGCTGCCGGCAGCGCCGCCGCTGCCCAGCCCGCGCACGCGCTGGGCGCCCGTCTCAAGGTCGAACTCTTCTTTGGCCCGCTTGGCGCCGTACTGCCTCAGCTCGGGAACGAAGGCGTCCACGGCCGCAGTCAGCCCGCTTCAGAAGCGCGCCATCTGCCAATTCGGAGCTCCCAGGAATCCTGTAGGCGTCGAGGGTGGTCTGGAACCGTCTCGCAAGCACCTCGAAAGTGGTTGGGGCTGGGGCGTGCGCCCGGTCGAACGTCGACGCGTAGAACATCATATCTACGAGACAGGTTAACTCGTGCATCACCCTATCGCCCGAGCCCACAACTGCAGCCACAAGCGCGGGTCGCCCCCGCTACGCTCAATGTGCTTCATCACATGCATGTGCGTGGACAGGCCCTCCAGGGGCCAGTGCTGGTCCGGCACGTGGAAACTCCTGCGCGGCTTTGCGATAAGGCTTGTATCGCTCGCCCTGCCCATCGTAATCAATCCACAAAATGCGAGCGCCCTCGGTCGGCGGCGGCGGCGTCGCTGCGCCGCCCACGCCGACGGCGGCCCCGGGACCCGCAAGCGGCTCGAGCGGCGGAGGCAGAAAAACGCCCTCACCGCAACCCGCAGCTGCTCTGCCAGCTCCTCACGGCGGGCGCGACGGGCGGCGCCCACCTCCGACAGCGGCACGAGCTCAGCGCGGCGCGCCTGGCAATGGCGGATGATCACTGCGTCATAGTCCGAGAGCGCGAAGTCATCTGGGCCAAGCGCCACCTCCTTACCGAGCTTCCCCACGCGGCCGCCCTCCATCAGTAGCCAGACGTGGCCCTCTGGAGCGCCCAGCGGCCCGCGCAAGGGATGCGCGGCCACCAGCGGAGCATCCGCCGGCCCAGGCGCCACGGCCGGGGCAGCGGCTCATGGGGCCTCCGCGCCCGCGGGGGCATCGGCCGCTAGAGAGCCGCGTCGCAGCGGCAGGCGTCGGGGAAGGAAGCGACTGCCAAACATGGTGTCTAACGGCACCACCTCGCGATCACGCATCACCACGTCCGAGACCTCGATCGGCTGATGACCTGCCTCAGAGCCTTCCTCCAAAGCTAGGCGGCGCCCCTCACGGATGTAGCCCTTCAAATTTGCAAGGGGCACCGAAGCCGGGAAGCGGCGCACCGGCTTGTCCAGCGGCGGTAAGCGACCTTCCGGGCGGAAGTCCAGGACGCGCGACACGCCGTCGGCGCCCTCGCTGCCGTCCAGCCCCTCCGAGTACATGTCGAGATCGGGGGTCAGGATGACCCACCTGCCATGCGTTTCCGGCCACAGCGCCAGCCTCTCGTGGTACACGTCGTCGGCGTCGTACCAGGCCAGGAAATGCTTACCTGGAAGGAGGCGCTTCCAGCACGCCTCGCCGGCGCCGTGCCCAACGAACGCCATGATCTCCGCGGGCTCGCCCGCAGATCCTGAGCAGCAGCCTCCAGACTGCCGCGCACGCCGACTGGACCACCCAGCTGACGAGCCCGAAAATGAGCACCTCCTCAGGGCTCAGCTCGTCCGGGGGGGCAGGGCGCCGTCTCCGGGCACCTCGGGCAGACGCACGGAGCGGCTGGCGGGCACGGCACCGCCTCAGGGCAGTGGCACTCGCAGCCAGGTGGGTCAGAACACGGAGGGCCCGGCGGGCTGGGCGGCTTGTGCAGCCCGACGGACACAACTATCGCGGCGATGGGCCCGCTCCAGAAAGCAGTGTGGCTCGCTGCGCGCATGCGACTCAAGGCCGCAGGTCGCAGAGTAACACTCGAGCCAAAAAAGAGCAGCTACCGAGAGCAGAAAATTCACACCACCAATCCCTAAACAGTGCAAGCACAGCGGCGCGAGGAACCCCAGGGAGTGAGGCGCGATTATCCAGACATCCCCACACCGAGAGAGAACAAGGGGTCCACGCCGAACACGACAGGCACGTTCCTAGCATCCTTGCTGCGCCCGCACTCCCATCATCATCATCATCCTCCGTGTGCTCTTCCTCCTCCTCCTCCTCCTCCGCCGCCGCCGCCGCCTCCTCCTCCTCCGCCCTCCTCCTCCTCCTCCTCCTCCTCCTCCTCCTCCTCCTCCTGCTCCTCCCCCTCCTCCTCCTCCTCCTCCTCCTCCTCCGCCTCCGCCTCCGCCTCCGCCTCCGCCTCCGCCTCCGCCTCCGCCTCCGCCTCCGCCTCCGCCTCCGCCTCCGCCTCCTCCTCCTCCTCCTCCTCCTCCTCCTCCCCTCCTCCTCCTCCTCCTCCTCCTCCTCCTCCTCCTCCTCCTCCTCCTCCTCCTCCTCCTCCTCCTCCTCCTCCTCCTCCTCCTCCTCCTCCATCCTCCGCCTCCGCCTCCGCCTCCGCCTCCTGGTCCTCCTCCTCCTCCTCCTGTTCCTCCTCCTCCTCCTTCTCCTCCTCCTCCTCCTCCTTCTCTTCCTCCTCCTCCTCCTCATGGGTGCCGTCATAGACGTGCGTTGTTCTGAATTGTTTGTCAATGCGCGCGACCCCCGAAGTCCTGCCCCTGGACCCAGGACCGATTTGTCATCCCGAACAGCTTTGGACGGTCCCCGGGGCCCAGGGGGGAGGGCCCAAAACGGCCCAAAACCTGCAGGTATGCTTCTTGTCAGGATGCGAACATGTCTGATGTTAGGTCGGGCATGTCCCCCTACAGGCGGAGATGGGACGAACAATTAAAACTACTCAAACAATGACCAAAAATAATCAAAAAATGATCAAACATCGTCCCCAGACTATGTTCTCTTCTTACTATGTTTGAATAGTTCTCCTGTAGAGGGACAGGCCCGACAGAAGTCTGAATCTTAGTACGGGGGCGATCAATCGGGGGGGGGTAGAAACGCGCACCGCTCGTGCCCCTCTTTGGGCCGGTGGGGGCCCTCCTGGAGGCCACAGAGGATGCACTTCTCTTCGCCCCCGCATCCATTCCGCCGCAAAAAAAAAAGTACACGGACACCCTCAAATGGATCAGTTCTGGGCCTCGGGGGAGGGTGGCGGTGTATAAGCCACCGTTGAGAGCCAGCGACTTGATACACCGCCACCCACCTGAAGGTACATGCCAGGTTCGTCGGGAGTCTGTGTAAATACTTGCGTGGTGGATTTCCACCCCCCCCCAGACCTCCCATTGCGCAACGCCCGTTACAGCCGCCGGTTGCGCTCCCCAGCGGTTCCTGCCCCGACGCAGCGAGGCGGTGTCTCGCGGCCATCCTCATCCTGCGCCGCCGGACCTCGGACCCGGCGCCGCGGGGCGCGCGCGCGCGGTCAACATTGATCTTGTCCGTCGAATATATTACAATCGCGTGGAATGCTCCGCACATCTGCGGAGCTGTCGACGAATTTATCGTGGATGCGACTTGGCGGCAAGCGCAAGGGTGCAGGGGGAGGGGGGGTTCTAAGAAGGCGGCTGCTTCTTAGAAGCTGCTGGCACTACAACTATAGACAAAACCCGCACCTTCTAAGAAGCACAGGGGGGTTCTAAGAAGCCCCCCCCTCCCCATACTTCCCTTCTGCGCGTGACCGACCGAGGATTGAATTCTGTAGTCGACCCCCAGTCGAAGGCGAGCGGGAGCATGCCGGGGCAGGAAGTCGGCGGGGCGTGGGCGGGGAGGACGAGGTTCGAGACTGGAGGAGGGAGGGGGGGAAAGGGGGGAAGAGGCAGCGGAGGAATGGTCGTCGTCGTCGTCGTTGTCGTCGTCGGACCGAGGTCTGAGCTGCAGGCTGGACTCCCTTGAATCAGACGCCTCGAAGGACCGCAGAGTAAGATAAAGGAGGGAGGGAGGGGGAGGAAGGATGGAGGGGAGGAGGGGGGAGGGAGGGGGCCGAAGAGAGGGAGGAGGGAGGGGAGGCGAGGAGAGCAGGCGAGAAGCTGGGCGCCCTGCCGGGGGGAGACGGAAGGAGGGAAGGGAGAGGATGGGATGGAGGGAGGAAGGAGGGAGGGAGGAGCGGGGGAGGGAGGAGCGCCGAGGAGAGGGAGGAAGAAAGGGGAGGGGAGGCGAGGAGAGCAGGCAGGCGAGGAAAGCCGGGCGCCCCGCTGGAGGCGGCGGGAGGGAGGGGAGAGGATGCGGAGAGTGAAGAGCAGGCGGGCCGCCGTCCGGACGAGGGCGGCGCCCCTGCCGGCAATCGAGCCCCGTCGCCCTCTTCCTCCTTCTCTCTCTCTCTCTCCCTCTCCCTCTCTGCTGTTGTTTTCGTTGTTCCCAACCCTCCTTGGTTGGGTGTTCGTTTTGGAATAGAGCACTGTGGTCGCGTCCTTCCTCCCGCCTCCCGCCTCCTCCTGTCCTCTCTTCGCCGACGATGGGGGCTGCGATCTGCGAAACTGTCGCCACTTTCGAGGGCTGCTGGTGGGTCCTGCGGAGTGAGGCGCCGCGCAGATCTGAGCGGCCGTCCTTGGGGGGCTGCGATCTGCGAAACCGTCGCAACTTTCGCGGGCTGCTTGGGGGGCCAGCATAGCGATCTGCGGAACTGTCGCCAGTTTCGAAGGCTGCTGGCGGGTCCAGCGGAGTGAGGCACTGCGCAGATCTGAGCGGGACCTCGCCGTGCCTGGGGGGCTGCGATCTGCGAAATTGTCGCCAGTTTCCGAGGGCTGCTGGTGGGTCCAGCGGAGTGAGGCACCGCGCAGATCTGAGCAGGAACTTGCCGTCCCTGGGGGGCTATGCGGGCGCGGGCACTGGGGCCTTCGGTGGAGCTCCCTATGGAGCCACGAAACGTGTGAGGGGTGTGCCGAAATGGGTGTGGGTGACGCATGCGGGCGCGGGCACTGGGGCCTTCGGTGGAGCTCCCTATGGAGCCACGAAACGTGTGAGGGGTGTGCCGAAATGGGTGTGGGTGACGGCATGCGGGCGCGGGCACTGGGGCCTTCGGTGGAGCTCCCTATGGAGCCACGAAACGTGTGAGGGGTGTGCCGAAATGGGTGTGGGTGACGCATGCGGGCGCGGGCACTGGGGCCTTCGGTGGAGCTCCCTATGGGGCCACGAAACGGTGTACTGGGTGGGTGAAGAGGAGAGGAGGAGAGGAGAGGAGGAGAGGAGAGGAGAGGAGAGAAGAGGAGAGGAGAGGAGAGGAGAGGAGAAGAGAGGATGATGATGATAATGATGATGATGATGATGATGATGATGATGATGATGATGATGATGATGATGATGATGATGATGATGATGATGATGATGATGATGATGATGATGATAATGATGATGATGATGATGACGATGAGGATGATAGGAGGGGAGAGGAGGCGGAGGAGGAGGAGGAAGGAGACGCGGGGCACCGTCTCTTCAAAACGAGGACCCAACACCACAGGATGGCTGGGAAAAACACAGGGAAAATGCAATATCCGACCGTGTATGTTTCGTGTATTTACCGGGTATTTTGAACGGCCCAGGCGCTCAGATTTTGACGTTGCGGTCGTCGGCCATTTCGGACAGACACAGCCGTTGTGGCTCCTCCAGCGTTGCTGGCATCGACTGTTCACCTCGCCCAGTATGGATCTCTACGCGAAGATGCGCGCCATGGGCGCTCCGCCCGTCAAGAGAGCGAAAGCCTGTGCCCCCCGCCCTTCGTGCAAGCCAGAGATCGCCATGGACGACGAGATGCAGCAGCAGGATTCGCTTCAGGAGATTCAAGCATCAATCGTCCGCCCCCTGGTCGAGCCTAAGATCGAGGAGCTCAGGTTGGATGCAGCTGGCCCTCTCACTCCAGTCCAAGCGTCGCCCACTGCAGTGAAGGCTGGGTTCCCCAAGAAGCGGAAGGTCACCGCACTAAACCACAATAGGTGGACGGCTAAGTGTTAACTCATCCGTGCCCAATGAGTTGGGTTACGAGTGAATTGACTTTTCATTCCACCTCTTGTGTTTTAGATTCGGTCACATTAAGGGTGCTACTCCATCGTGTTCGCCAGCCCCGTCGTCCGCAGGGTCAGCATGTGTACCAGTGTGTTCCTCAGCCCCGTCGTCGGCAAGGTCAGCATGTGTACCAGTGTGTTCGCCAGCCCCGTCGTCTGCGGGGTCAGCATACGTCACTCCGCCGCAACGGGCCAAGATGGTGCCGAGTATCTCCCCAATGATGTTGGAGTCCTCAGATGACATAGCCACTCAGACTGTGCCAGAGGATACGTTCGAGGCCATCAAGTCTGGCTGGAAGGTCGGACCAGGATGTGCGCTCCCAGAGCCGTCCAAGCCCGCGCCATCAACCGCCGCCGCCGCCCACGATCTCCAGGCGCCGGCGCCCGAGGATCAGCTCACGGACCAGCCATGCGATGACGCCCGTGCCGACGAAGCTCATGCAGCTGGAGTCGCAGATGACGGGCCTCGTGCTGCGCGGGGCGCTGACGCGGTGGCGGTCGAGGCGGACGTGCGTGATGCTGGCATCAAGGGAAAGACGTACATCGTGCCCGACGACGTCGGGCGTGGGCACTAACCACACCAACCACACATCCTCCACCTCCACTTCTTCCTTCTCCTCCACCTCCACTGGGCCTCTCAGGTCAAGGAGCAGATCTTGGCAGCGGTCGTGCCTGGTGACGTGGACGTGGCCTTGCGGAAGAAATTGTACTCTGCAATCTCACGGGCGCTCAGTCGCCCGAATATCCCGTCAGAGATCGTGGCCAAGTGGGAGGCTGACTCCAAGAAGAACGCCAGCAAATTCGCCTTTCTACAGGCGTATGTGCAGGATACGAGCTGCGCGGTCATGGTCATCCAGGAGAGGCACACCAGGACGAAGTCGGTCTACAGGGAGAAGACCATGATATGGGCAACTAAGTTTCAAGTGTATGCGATGTACCCTGCCCACGCGAGTGAGGAGACGATGCAAATTTGCAACGACATGCTGAAGCACGCCAAACAGAGGTGCAGCGATGACGCCAAGCACAAGCGGGACAAGAGGTTCAACATCTACTACGTTCCACTCGCCAACATCGAGGGCAGCAAGGACGAGGTTGCCCGCCAGACCAGCGCGACTCTGACGGGCCACGTTGATGAGATGAATGCTGGGATGGCAGCAGATCTGGTGAGGAGCTTGGGTCGAGGCATCGAGAAGGATGAGAAGCCCCACACCGAGAATGACTCGGGCCCGACGCGGGCCAAAGCCAAGGCCAAGGCCAAGTCGGCTCCTAAGGCTGCCAAGAAGCCTGCCAACCTTTCCCCACGTTCTCTGACTACGGTGGTGATCAACAAATTGTCGGCGGACATCTCGGCCATCAACCGGGTGCTCAAGGCGTTGGATACCTGCCAGAATAAGTTCAAGCAGTCGGTGATTGATGCGATCCAGATCAGCGAGCCCAAGGTGACGTCTGCTCTTGCTACCTTCCACGAGCTGCTGCAAGGCGACCGACCAACCTTGTCGGACGTGGTCGAGAAGTTCCACTCCATCAAAGGTGATTCTGATTCACTCAGCGAGGACTTGCTAGAGGCCCGAAGGATCCTCGGCGAGAACATCAAGAAGCCGACGTCTGTCTTTGACGGGCAGCTCGAGGCCAAGATGAGGGCTGCGGAGGCGCAGCTCGACACGGCGGATGGCGTCGACGCCGCTGCCGACCTCCATGCCACGGATGGCAAGGAGGAGTCATGAGCTCGAGCTCGAGGTGGCAATGTCGCGACTGTGTCGCGACTGCATGCATCCGCATTTTCATGCATATGTCAGGCTTGGACGATAGCATACAGCTACCACCTCTTCCTCGTCGTCCTCCAGCTCCTCCAGCTCCTCCTCCTCCTCCTCCTCCTCCTCTTCCTCCTCCTCCTCCTCCCTCTGGGGCCTCTTCTGCACTCCTCTCATCTGCCTTTCTCTTCTACCCTCCCCCCTCTGTTCCCTCTCTCCTTCCTTCCCTCGCCTCTTCTTCTCTTTCTCTCCCTCAATGCTCTCGTCGGCGGCCTGTTTGGGGCACCACAATATATCTTGTGTGGACTTCTTGCAGCTAGCTGGTGAACTATGGGCGTGAAAGTCCTGCGCTGCCTTGGGTGTGCATGCGCTCCAGACTGGATCACCCAGCTAGCCGCTTGCACTTTCAATGATGTACTCCGAGGACTGGCCTGTGGGGCTGGCCAGCCTTTTTGCTGCGCGGTGTACCCTCCCCTCTTCCTCAGCAGTCTCGAGATCCTCCAAGAGGCCCCAAGAGGCCCCAAGTGGCCCCAAATTTCAGGAGGCCCCAAGAAGCCCCCAAGAGGCCCCAATGGGCTCGCAAGAGGCACCCCGAGAGGCCCCCCGAGAAACCAAGAGGCCCCCAATGGGCTCGAAAGAGGCCCCCAATGGGCTCGCAAGAGGCACCCCGAGAGGCAACCCGCAAGAGGCCCCCAATAAGCTCGCAAGATGCACTCCTCCAAGAGGCCCAAGAAGCCCCCAAGAGGCACCCCGAGAGGCCCCCAATAGGCTCAAACTTGACCCCAAAGAGGCCTCAAAACTGCCTCCCAAAGGCCCAACTCAGCATGTAAAAATGTTGCTTCAAGGGCGGTCGTCGTTAAAAAACAAAAACTGCCTCCCAGAGGCCCCCAAGAGGCCTCAACGCGGCCCCCAAGCGGCGAGGCAATTACGGGCCGGCGAAATGAACGAAACGATTAAATAATTTGGACGAGGCCCCCCACTCACCCGGGACAAGGCACCACATGCTAACGCAAGAGGGGTGAGTTGAGAGTCAGGGTGAGAGAAACATGGAGTAGGGTGAGGAGGATTATGCATATACATATATATATATATAAAATAAATGTATGTGTACATATTCATATATCTATATATGCATATATATATATATGCATAAAAAATGTATAAGCGTAATTACAACACATGAATTATCATTTGAATCAGCTCGTCTAGGCTCGGTGATATTCGCGTGTGATTATCCCAACCACTTTCTTTCGGCCAGTTCCCATGTAATTGAAGCCATGGCCTTTGAGGGCTCGCCCGACGAGCTCGAGATGGAGCTTCTCAGTCTCATCGGGGAAGGAGTTTCATCAGTTCAACGTTTTGCCCGATTGTGCTCAGCAATTGCAGATCGTTGCACTGGAGTTCCTTTGCACGTGCAGCAGCTCGCGACGATCCCGCCAGATCGGCACGCTGAGCGAGCGCTGCACAGATGGGTATCAAGACAACCCTGGCGCGAGTTGCTCCCGCAGGTTTTTGAGTTTCAAGTCGCTGCTTCCAGTGATGGCGTTCATGAAACAGTTCGTACGCACCATGCCTTTTTACCTCATGAGACGTTCGCGAGTTTGCACAAGCAGGTGGATCTTTTCAACCACATGTTCGTTGGGGGGCCTGGCCGATTAGAAGCTTTCTGGCAGCACTCGAGGACGGGTTCTTCTAAACATTCGCGTCTCGCGGATCAAGGGGGAGTGGAGAAAGGAGGGAGTGAGGAAGGAGGCATGACAGGAGCTCAGGAAAAAGGGGGAGTGGGAGAACATAGTTTGGAACCCATCCTCGAGGACCACTCCGTGGTATCAAGAGCACCCTGTTTTAGATATTCGAACGTCTCCGACCAGCTGTGTGCCCATTGGTATCTCCGGGGACGACGCAGGAGATTTCAACCACGAAAAGATTATCATGCTTCTGTGGGGCGGGACGATTGAAAACCATGAGACTATCCTTTCTAGAATCGTTTTCACGGAGGTGCAGTATTCGAAGATCGTTCCAGATAAGACATTGGACCAAATTTATGAGGTTCTCGTGTGGAGCTTAGAATGGCTCGCGATCGGTGAATACCCCCCTGTGGACCATCGAGGCAGACAGTTCAATGCAGAATACGAGCCAGGGCGGGCAGCTCTAGCTGGCAAGCCCTTGGCAGGGGGATACCGGGGAGTGTGGTCGGAGATGCGAGGAGATTGGAAATACTTGCAAGAAAGTTTGAAGTTGGCCAGGCATTACAATATCAATGAATGCTGCCACCTATGCAAAGCTCATAAGCGGACAGGCCGTCTGCTGTTCACTCAATTTTCATCTCGCTCCCGTCTGCGCAACACCCTCATGACGAATCGGAATTTCATGAGAGAGCAACGGGCCTATGGCAGCCCTTCCCCTTTGCTCCGAATTCCTGGTTTCCATGTGTGGAGGGTTTGGGTTGACCCTCTGCACGCTTTGGATCTCGGCGTTTACCAAATTGTAGTCGCATCGTGTTTGAGGGAACTCGTTCTGGAGGGAACCTGGGCCGGAAACAATCGATCGGAGAGGTTCTATATGGCTCATGCTGACCATAAGGCGTGGTGCAGAGCCAAAGGCATTCAAGCATGTCCGAGATTCGAAGAAAAAAAGTTTTTCCCTCGTGGTGACTGGGTGAAGCTTACACAGCAGATGGCAAAAGGTGCTCAGACTTTGCAGCTGGTTCGGTGGCTCTATGACGTATGCCTCCGCCCCGGGGTTTCGGTAGGAGATCACGGCGAGCTCAGGCTGGCACTGCTGCACATCGCAATAACGTTTGAAAACGTTTATCGTGACAATGAGCGAATTATTCCTGCTGCTGATTTGATTCGCGCGCAAGAGGCCACTGAAGACTTCTTGGCTTGTCTGAACGCCCTGGCGACCGAGGCAGTGATACATGATAAGTGTACGTGGCACATCACCCCCAAAGCACATATGGTGTTGCACATGGCACTGGACTTCGCTCCCCAAGCAAACCCCCGCAAGACACAATGTTATTCGGATGAGGACATGGTTGGTAGAATGAAGCGTATCATATCCCGATGCCATGGCATGACAGCAGCTGCCATGGGCCTGCTGCGTTATGCCATCCTTGCTGGCACAAGGTGGTGGCAATTGCTTGCTCAGTTGCGTGGACTGTCGTAGCGCTGACACGAAAGAATCCAGCAGTTGCTTCGTCGAGCGCAGGGCCTTTGCACAGACGCACATAGACAGGGCGCAACACACATACCCATATTGACCAACAAATTCGGGGAATAGGCAAACATACAAATACTATATATATATATGTATAGAGAGGGCGATCGAAAATCACACAACAAAATCGGCCAGTATAGCCACTAAAGGGTCAGCGCCGAAAGGGTAAACGATATCATACGTACGATGGAGAAGGATGAGGGGGAGGAGGAGGAGGTGGACGGGGGAGGAACGAGGAGGATGAGGACGACGAGGACGACGAGGGGAAAGGGGGAAACCATGCGGCAAATCACAACAAGCGGCCGATAGTTCACGCAAACAAAGAAAGCACGGAAGCTCTCGACAACCACATTGCAACTGCTGCTGCTGCTTCGGGCCTTCCTGTTCTCCTCCTCCCCTGCCTCTTACGCCGTCGGCATATACACGGCGAAGGCCCGCGCGCGCCGCCGCGCAGCCTCCTCACCTCCCCCCGTGGCCGCCTGCTTGCTCCCGCCTCTGGCGGCGGAGGAGTTGAAGATTTAAGTCCGCCCCGTCCCCCCAAACGAGCCCACCCGAAAGCGCGGGGGGCGACGCCCCCCCGGCACCCCTACAGGCCCGTTGGCATTAGCAGGCGGCCAGGGGAGGTGGAGTTGGGCACCCTCTCCCATTTGTGCCGATCGTTCGCAGGGTGGCGGCCGTGACGCCTCGCTCGCAGGGGGGCGGCCGCGACGCCTCGTTCGCAGGGTGGCGGCCGTGACGCCTCGTTCGCATGGTGGCGGCCGTGACGCCTAGTTCGAAGGGTGGCGGCCGTAACGCCTCGTTCGCAGGGTGGCGGCCGTGACGCTTCGTTCGTAGGGTGGCGGCCGTGACGCCTCGTTCGCAGGGTGGCGGCCGTGACGCCTCGGATACCCGTATGCGTGTAGACCAGGATATACATACGTATACTGGTATATGCCTACACAGAAACATAAAAGATCCGTTATAGGCTATACATGGTGTGTACACATGTATATATATATGTATGTTTTATGGATGTGCGAGTGTGAATGTGTGCGTGTGTACTGTGTGCGCACTGTGTGTGCGTGTGTTTGCGTGTTTGCGTGTTTGCGTGTGTGTGTGTGTGTGTGTGGTGTGTGTGTGTGCGTGCGTGCGTGCGTGCGTGCGCGCGTGCGTGCGCATGTGTGTGTGGCTGCGTGTATGCGTGTATGTGTGCTTGCGCGTGTGTGTGTGTGTGTGTGTGCGCGTGTGCTTGCGTGTGTGTTTGTGCGTGCGCTGGTGCGTGCGCGCGCGTGCAGGTGCTCGTGTGCGTGTGCGTGTGCGTATGAACGTGTCTGTGCGTGTGCGTACGTGTGTGTATGCATGTGTGTGTGTGCGTGTGCGTGTGCGTGCGTGCGTGCGTGCGTGTGTGTTGTGTGTGTGTGCGTGTGTGACCGCGTTTGTTGGCCCAGCGCGTCGCCGAACGAAGGCTCGCTGAGGAACAGCGCGTGTGTGTGAGGTGGCGCGTGCGCTGGGTGCGCGCGCGCGCGCGCGTGCAGGTCTTCGTGTGTGTGTGTGTGTGCGCGTGCGTGTGTGCGCGTCGTTGCATCTAGCGCGCCCCACTGATACAACCTCAGCCCAGCCGCCGACGCAAAACAGGTGTACGTGTGTGTGTGTGTGTGTGTGTGTGTGTGTGTGTGTGTGTGTGTGTGTGTGTGTGTGTGTGTGTGTGTGTGTGTGTGTGTGTGTGTGTGTGTGTGTGTGTGTGTGTGTGTGTGTGTGTGTGTGTGTGTGTGTGT